AACGTAAATGCTCGGCCGGGCTAGGGCTGATTTGATTTGTTCAATTAGTCAGTCGTCATAAATCGGAAATCGAGATATAGTACAAAGAGAATGATTAAAAATCATATCTCATACGATATCTAGAATGGAGGAATATATGATCCCTTATCTAAGGACACGCGTATCTGATAGGATCAGAGTTGACAGTAGCTTTCGAAAGCTACGATTGTAGATCAGGATCTGAAGTCATACACAGAATAGTTATTAGACTTATCCAAGTGGGAGACTGCTGGATTAGTGTCTAAGTACATAACTATTTTGGTATGTACTTGACCCGATGGTGCATGGTCCTTTTGGGTTTCCTTCACCAAAGCAACTTGATTGGAGAAATAAATAAAGAGAGAGAGGTTATTATGATTTATTAATATGTTATAAGAATAATATATTAAAGGAGAAATCATATTTGTTTAATTAATATTGGTCAATAATTAATTGGGAATTAATTTTGTGATCAAGTGTAATTAATTAAACTAGAGGGGCTGATTTGTAATTATGTGATAGTTACAAAATAAGGTAAGGATTATCTTATTATTAGGGTGAACGAATTTGAGGTGATAAGGCCTTAGAATTCGACTATGATAACGATTCAAAGATTATCTTATGGGTTGCATTGTGGATAAGCATCTAGATAAGGATAATGACTGAAACCCTATCTGAACACCTATATAAACACCCCTTGGCACATGAATTCGTGTATCTCTTCCCAAGGAGTCCTAAGGATGAATTCTAACCTCTCTCCTCTTTCTTTATACCTTCTCCATTTGCTCTTGGTGTTTGTAAGCCATTAGAGGAGTGACACTTGTGACTCTAAGCATTCCAAAGTCAATTCAAGGAGGAATTAGGATTGTTATCGCTACATAACAATCAAGGTAACATTATAAACTTATTCTCATGTTAATATGATTATTTGAATGCTAGAATTAGGGTTTATAGTCTTGGATTCAAAGCATGTACAATAGAGAAACCTAGATCCAAGCATTACGGTTTGTATGAGCACATAGGATGTCTTATGACCAAAACCCATCAGAAAGTGACTATACACTCACTTGATCAGAAGATGACCGGACAACACTACAACTTGTAAAAGTAGTATTCTTCGGTAGATCTGGAAGATCTTCACAAAAACCGGCTTCTTGCGGGCAGAGATTTGGCTCGGGAATCTCACTTCTCGGGATCCTCGGGGCTTCAGAACTTGCTTCGGGGCTCAGGAATGATACCGGGGCTTCTGGATATTTCTTGCACGCAAAACGATGCAAAAATGAGAAAGAGAGAGAGAGAGAGAGAGAGAGAGAGAGAGAGAAGAGTTTGAACAAAAAAAATCGGTAGCCCTGGACATCTATTTATAGGGTGCTGAAACCTCGATTATGTTGGGCATAAATCCAGGTGCGATGGGCGTACTAAGCCTTATGTTGGGCGTACGCTTCGGATAAGCTTTGGTATGCGTGCCTCGAACTTCAAAAATTAATAACTTTCGCACGATCTCCGTTTTCGATGTTCTTTATATTCACTCCTAGGTGAGATTATGCTCTACAACTTTCATTTAGACTCCGTCAGCTAATACTCAAATATTTCATCATTAATACCTTAAATATTTCATCATTAATACCTTAAATATTTCATCATTAATACCTTAAAAGAGTGAATACCTTAAAAGAGTTACAAGGGTTAACCTAGACTATTACATTGCTATTAATACTCAAATATTTCATCATTAATACCTTAAAAGAGTTACAAGGGTTAACCTAGACTATTACATTGCTATTAATGACAAACCCAGAAATACGGGCGTTACAATTACCTTGCATGGAGTATATAAAGACTGCCTTATGAATGAGAAACTAGCACTTCTTCTTCTTCTTCTTCTTCTCTTTTGCTCTCTAAAACCGTGGTTTTTCATCCATCCTCCTCCTCCTCTCTTTATCTCTCTTTATCTCTTTCTTTCTTTCTTTCTTTCTCTCTCTCTCTCTCTCTCTCTTGAAGTTAGTTTGGTGGTTTGAAGCTCCTCTTGAGTTGTCTCCTTTAGTGTTTATTTGACTTAAGTGCTTAAAGGCTTAAGACACTCAAGAATACAAGATGAAACTAGCATTCCAAGTATCTTACTCTTGATGGTGGATAGTTGTAAAGTAATCATATTATTTGATTATTGCTATCTTCATCAACACCACAAAACCAAGTGGGTTCAAAGATTTCAAAGGTTATCATTCTAAACACTCTTTGGTTGTTTTTATTTCATTCTAACATCTATAAATGGGTCCATGATGGTTTGGTTTTGTTATGAACTCAAAATAAACTTGTTATTTTTAAAGTCTTCCGGTGCTGGTTTTTGTGAAAACCAAACTTATATTTTGTATCAAAACCCATCATTTAATACATTGGTGAATGTTCAAATTCCATATCATCTCAACATGTTGGTCAATGTTCAAACTTCGTAGATTATGATGTTACTAATCGGTAAGGCGTACAAAAAATAGAATCATCATCAGGCATTGAACTAATAATGAACTAATAATGATCTCTATTTATCGCTCGGATAAAGAATCTCCTAATTTTATTCGAAATGCATTGGAGTAATCTTTTACAACTTATGTATCTTCCACAACCCATTTTTTGGATTTTGGTTGTATTACATATGCAGCTCCCAATTTAACTTCTTTACTCATACTTCCTCATACTTTATCTATAGGCGCCACAATTTATAACACCATTCTCCCACATGACTAATTGGGATTTATATAGCGATTCAGTTTCAGCTCTCTTTTCATCCCAAATTATTAACTCATGGAATCTCATAGTTTACCCCTTTATAGGTGCAAAGTACACATCTTAACAAGGCTAACCCAAGGCATGTTCAGAAGGTGCATCTGAAAAAGGACCCAAAAATTAGATGGCCCATAATTTTTATTGCATTTTCGTTAGTTTGTGTTCATTAAGCCCAAAAATTGCAAAACACATTAGGTTAATTCATGGCAGTTTGCACGTATAAGGCAAAACGAGCGAGAAAAATATGAAATTTCGAGAAAAGAGAACAAAACGCTTCGATATCTTCTTATGCATGCGGCCAGAGCGGGAATTCAATCTGTAACGGTTCTTCACTTCTTTCATCTTTCTCAAAATTCTGAAACAAAGTTACAAACATCCTGCAATCTTTCTCAAAAATCAGAAAACGCGTTCTTTGCTTCTTTCTTCTCGAAAATCAGATTTTAGAAGCTTCAAATTTCATGTTGTGGACTTATAGTTTCGAAATCAGAAGCATAAGGTTGAGATAAAGATATTTCTGATTTGTTTCTTGTTCCTTACTTCTTTTTCTTCTGCTTATTTTTTTATTTCTAATTTTAAAAGAACAAGATTACAAGAATTGAGTTATGAAAATCAGATTCAGAGGAACAAGAACTAAACAAATGAGAGCATCAGTTTCAAAAATCAGAAATCGAAAGGAACGAACAAGGCATTGAGGAAATTGATTTCTCGAAAATCAGTTTTGAGTTCTTACAGTCTTCTGATCGTTCTTCTTGCACCTCGAAAATTAGATTTTAGAAGCTCAAACTTCAATCCCGCTAGAAGTTTTGATGTCGGTATAGGGAGTTTCTAATTCTTGATTTTTTTTGATTGTTTTTTGTTTTTAATTTTTGACTTTGGGATTTTTGAAGGGACACGTAAATCACTTTCGAAAATTAGAAGGAACAAGGTTACAATGAAATCAATTTCTGATTTTTGTGAAGGCACATGCAAATATAATTATATGTTTTCCTTCCTTGTTCTTTTTTTATTTGTATCTTTGATAAATGTTTGTGCTCATTCATTTTGTGGTGTGGATATTTTATATTTTCAGATAATTACAAACATGAAATTGATGTCGAATTATAGAAAGTAAATAGCTTTAAAAAATCAATCTTTACGTGGGTGTATTGGTTAGATTTGGTGTTTGTTTTTGTTGGTAGTTTTTGGTGAGGTAAAGATTGGAATGAGTTCTTTGTTTTTTTGGCATCAGATAAATGAAAGTGAAAGTATTTTGTTGTTAATACTTAATGTTTGCTTTATAAATGAAAATTTTTTTGTTCAAGAATTGCTAATTTCAGTTAATTGCATGTTTGTGTTTGTGATATGTTGCAAGTTTCCTTTTAGAATGGAAGTTAGCCCAAGAATCTGAGCTATTTAATGTGGATTTTCATGTGATTTTTTTTTTCATAAATTATCATTTATTTTTCAAAAAAATTAATGGCTTAATCTAAAAATAAAAATAAAAGTAAAATATTGTAAAAGTAAAATGTTGCAGAAAATGAGTATATTTAAGCGACAATTATTTTGCATAAATTTTTTGATTTACAAGTTTCAAGTCCCTATTTTTGTTAAATCGCTAAGGGCCTCCGGAATCTCACCGCCAACCCTATCTCTTAAGCTTTTAAAACCTCATATGTTGTTAAAAAAAATTAAATATGTCTCATACTTCTTTAACCACTTCTCATATTTCCCTAAAATTTAAACACTTCATGTGTTTCTCTCATACTTAGACACCTTCGTATCTTGGATTATCAATCTATATGATTGTACACTAACATGTAATAAATACAAACCAAGTATTACTCGTATACAATAAATATAACTCGGCATAATAATCGCTATTAAATTTAACTCTTCGGCGATGATTGGCTTCAATATGATAAGGAAATGGTCCCATTGATTTCTAACTGCTACCTTGTTATCGTTAGTTATAATATTGCTTCCGGACATGAACTCTAGGACACTACACTTTTTTTTTTTTTGGACACTAGAGCTTGTTTCATGGTCTTAAAAGAGTGGTCAACACATATATTAATTAATTAATTGCAACATGTATTTAAATAACATATATATACAGATATATTTTTTCCCCGGTAGTTAGAGATCTCATGTTAATTAATCACAGTCAACGTCCACCCCTATTATATACTAATCCATTGGGCATAACGATACCCGTCTCTGACATTCACACTGTATATGGTCGTCATTTTCTCTGCCCATTCAGCAGATTGCCGAGGCATTCTACGTTCTGATTTTCAGTTTACTATCGCTGATTCCCTGCAGCTCGGACAGGTTTTTTTTTCTGAAGAAGAGTTGTTAGGTTCATTCTTAAAAGGTAGATGTTCTTTTGATAAAAAAGTTCTTCAAGATATTTGTAGATTTGCTGTGCTTTTGTATTTCCTTTTGTTTCACTACTTGGTCTAGCATATGTTCTTATATGTGATGGATATTAATGTATGTGGAATATTTCAAAAAGTTATGTTTCATCTTTGCAAAATCTTATTTGATTTTGTCTAGTATTTTTTTTTTTTTTAAAAGCATCCAAGGTATTCGAGGTTTAGTGATCACACTAGGCTGACTTGATTTCGTATGGCTTTTTTGTTTGACGATCGAGCTTCATGATGTGAAAAAAGTATTTCTTTACTGAACCTTGGTTTGTTATTCAAGAGAAACATCAATTACCTTTTGAACCTTGATGCTTGACACATGGGATTTGCTGTAGGTTGATCAACTGATTTATATATATTAGGTTCAAAATTCTTACACACAGATGTTTTTTGGTCTACTCAAAGAACAATATCCTTCTCTCTTGTTTATGTTTTAGTTATTTGATTTTGTGTTGTCCGGTTGATTCCTTTGATATAGTTTCTTAATGTTCAATATTGGTATATATACCATCTGATGATTAGCAATGACTTAATAACAATCGTTCATGAATTATCTGCAAGGTTCTGTTAATTTTCAACAAATGGCTCATGAAAACCAGCATTCGCCAACTTTTAGGCAACGATTTCGTCAGGCTACATTAGAAGAAAGATTTACTGGGAGGTTTTGCTCTGATGTTGTTTGGGCTAGTTCTTCTACTGTTCTGTCCAAAACTGTTTTTGACATAGCTGAGCGTCGTTTCACGGAAAAGGAACTTGAGAGGATGAAGCTTCCACCAAATCCAGATGAGATTGTAAAGAGCAAGAGCACGAAAGAACGTTTATCTTGTAGAATTAAGAATTTGAGAGTAAATACAGTTAATGTCATCCGCTACGTCCCCACTCCGGTACAAAATTATATCTTCCTCTTGCTTAATATTGTATATATAGTTGGTTAGTTGCATGTGTTTGCAAGATACATGTAGAGTCATTTACTTACCCTTCAAAAGAGAGCTTATGGAAACATAAGAGATGGTATCTCAACAATGTGAGGCACTACTATCACCAGAGGCTCAAGGCTTATGGGATGTTTTAAGTCAGAGATGTGTAACACCTGCTATGTAAGATACATGTGGAATATAAGACACATGTGGAGTGCTTGATTTACTTTTCAAAAGAACCCTTATGGAGATAGCTAGGGTAGATTCCAATATATATAGAAACATACGGATGCAGGAATACATAGCAGGTGTTGCCGAGGTTTAAATAGGTGTTACAAATGTAGGAAAAATAGGTAAAAAAAATTGAAATATTTTCCACTGCGAACAGATAGGGTACCTATACAAAACCGCCACTGACGATAAGACTGTCCTGTATCGTACCGAGGTGGGACACTAACCATGTTTCCGTATTAATTAGTTCATTATATCTTTTTCTATGTTTTCGTTTCTAATATACGCCAATAACATTGTATATACTATTTAGGATTTTTCTTTTTATATAAACTGATTTTTAGGTGGACTTAATTCTTTTGTGTTTGCATCTGGTCTAAGATAAGTCGGGACCGCTAAGATAAGTCAGGACCGGTTCTGACGGGTCCTACTTCTAACTGGTCCTGGTCCTGGTCCTGACTGTATCTCACCGATGTGGGACATTAACAATGTTTCCATGTTAATTAATTCATTATACCTTCTTTTGTAGACCCTTAACTTTGCATTCAAAGACTACTTTAGGAGGTATTTCAACTTTAAGAAAGACCGTGATGGTTACTTGAAGTGGTCCGCTGGTAACTTTGTCTCTGGCAGTGCTGCTGGTGCTTCCTCCCTACTGTTATTGTACTCTTTTGATCATGCATCGAGTCGATTAGCAAATGATGAGGCTAAGAAGGTGGGAGAGAGGCAATTCAGTCGTTTAACAGATGTATACAGAAAAACTCTTGCATCAGATGGTTTTGTTGGTCTATATCGTGGATTCAAGATTTCATGTGTCAATGTCATTGTCTACCGTGGTCTGTATTTTGGGATGTATGACTCTTTGAAGCCGGTTGTTCTAACAGGATCATGGCGGGTGGGTTAGAATTTTGCATCCATTAATTAGTGTATTACTATCAGTAATCAACCAGATGTTTACATGATGATGATGATGATGTGTGTTTTCAGGATAGCTTCTATGCAACATTTGCTCTTGCATTAGTCACTACGAGTGGTGCTACTCTTGCATCATACCCCATTGACACAGTCCGTAGAAGAATGATGATGACATCAAGTGAAGTTGTCAAGTACAAGAGCTCTCTTGATGCGTTTACTCAAATCCTGAAGAATGAGGGTGTCAAATCGCTATTCAAGGGTTTTACTACACCCATTCTACCTGTGGCGACTGCTACTACTGTCCTAGTTTTTTACGATAGACTTCAGAAGCCATTTCTTGATGCTTTAAGTATGAAATAAGAATGTATTTAATCTTGGCTTCTGCAAAGGATTATAAGTTTAATGTGTTTTGTTTAACTTTGCAGGAATGAAGAGATTGAGAGATGAAAGTGAACACGTGGCTGTTTAGAATGTGAAGAAATGGAGCATGTGCGGTTGATAGAGGTAGTTGAAAAGACCATTAATTAGGTTCTTGGACTCTAACGCTGAAAATGTATGAGATCTATGTTTGTTAGTTCTGTTGTTAAAACTTAATTAAAACTGTTTGACAAAGTAGGATTTGTAGATCATGTGATAAATAAAGTTGATTCAACGTTTGTTGTTTCATATCTTGGCTATAAAAGTGATTAGATCTTTCGATGGTCTAACTTTTCCGCAGCTTGTTAATTTGGAGAAAAATTTTGAGCTTAGAATTGTATCCCTTCCAACTGTTACTTCCCGGGACTTGGATCTCATGATTGGACCAGTGCTTGAATTCACAGGTGACGTGAATGCTGGAGCAACCTAGCCTCCCTACGAGGGAGACCAAGCTATGTGATTTACTGAATACAGAACTAGGGTTTCCTTGGGATTAAATCATGCTTTATTTCATAATAAACTACCCTTTAAATAGGGAGAACAAATACTTTAAAAAAGGAAAACAAATCTCCTACCACAATGGAAAATATTTATAATAACAATACTTCAAAATACTCCTAAGTTATAGCATGCATAAAAAAGGAATTGATTTTACTCCATATCCAATGCCTAATCTTTTTTAGGGCGTCGCCTATAAACCTTACCATATTTTCCATCCATAATACTACTCCCCTACTCCATATTGAGCTTGTCCTCAAGCTCAAAGTTGGGATAGGCATCCCGAAAGTTGGCCTGATCTTCCCATGTAGCACTCTCAACAGCATCAGGAGTCCATTGAACCAACAACTCAGGCTTGCCTTGTAAATTTCTAACGTGTAGCACTTTGAAGGGAGTAAGCAAGGTCTTTCCATCAAGGGTCGGTGGTAGTTCAGTAACAACATCAGGTGGGGATCCACGATGTGGTTTCAGCAAAGAAACATGGAACACATTATGAATGTGACTACCTTCCGGTAATGCTAAATGATATGCGACTGACCTAATTTTTTCCACAACCCCGAAAGGACCATAAAACTTTGGGGACAGCTTAGTGAAAGTTGTCTTAGACACGGACAGCTGCCTGTAAGACTGTAATTTCAACCAAACCTAATCTCCCACCTTATACTCAACTAGGCGGTGGTGACCATCATAGGCTGTCTTCATGCGTTGTTGTGCTTTAGCTAAACAAGTACGTGCCTCCTGTAAGAAGGATGTACGGTCAATCAGTGCTTGATCTATCGCCTCTACCTTGGAAAGACCACCGTCATAATTAAGTAAACGAGGCGGATCCCTTCCATAGACAAGCTTAAAAGGTGTGGTTTTAAGTGCTATGTGGTACGATGTATTATAGCAATACTCGGCCCAAGGAACCCACATAAACCAACGACGTGGTCTATCTCCAGTCAAACAATGTAAATACATCTCGATCGTCCGATTAACCACTTTGGTTTGTCCATCACTTTGTGGATGGTAGGCCATGGAAAAAGACAACTTTGTCCCAGATAGATGGAATAGTTCCTTCCATAATGCACTTTGAAAAACCTTATGGCGATTAGATACGATGGTCTCGGGAAGTCCGTGCAGTTGGAAAATTTCTGAAAAAAATACTCGTGCCACTGATTTTGCGCTGTATGGGATCCCGAGTGGTATGAAATGGACATATTTTTAGAATCGGTCCACAACAACTAGGAGAACCGATTTTCTAGAAACCTTCAGAAGGGCTTCCATAAATTCCATTGAGATATCTGCCCAAATTGCAGTTGGAATTGGTAACGGTTGCAAGAGACCTGCATGTCGCAACGTTTCCCACTTATTACGTTGGCACACGACACAATTGCGGATGTAATCTTGAATAGTTTTCTTCCATCCTTTCCAATAGAAATCACATCAAACCGACTCAATTGTCTTCTGATTTCCTTCATGTGCTGAATCATGAATGCCCGAGAGCACCACATCAAACAAGGAAGAGGTTGGTTTCAAATACGCATGCCCATCATACCGAATTAGCTCATTTTGTACCCCCACCTAGCATCGTCAATTCCTGCCATAATTCTGTCGCGGTGATCTCTAAGGTCAGCATTAGTGTTTATCTTGTGTCGCAGTGTAGAAAAGATCTCTGTATGGACTTCAGATAGGGCACACATTGTACTCGCCTCGGTGTCTTCTTCTCGTTGTGATAAGGCGTCGACTACCCGATTGAGGGACTCTGCACGATATTCTACTTCAAAGTCAAACCCGAGAAGTTTGCTAACCCAATATTGTTGGGGGAAGGTGGTGAGGCGTTGTTCGAATAAAAACTTTAAGCTGTAGTGGTCGGTTTTGATCAGTAAGTGACGACCCCATAGGTAAGGTCGCTAATACGCCACCGCCTTCACCAACCCGATTAATTCTCTCTCGTATGCTGGTAGTTTATGGTGACGATCTGCAAGTTTCCAGCTAAAGAAAGCTATTGGGTGATTATTTTGTTGGAGGACTACACCAATGCCACTACCTAATGTATCACATTCGATGACAAAAGTAGTTGAGAAATTTGGTATTTCTAAAACCGGGGATTCTGATAATGCTTGTTTTAACATAATGAACGCACTCTTCGATTCTTCACTCCATGTAAAACCGTTTCGTCTTAGCATACCGGTCAAGGGTGCAGCAATGATCCCATAATCTTTAATGAATTTTCTGTAATAACCGGCAAGCCCGAGGAACCCTCTCAAGGTTCGAATGTTGTAGGGTTTGGGCCATTCCTACATTATTGAAATCTTGCTCTGGTCGACTGATACACCTATCTGGTGGACAATATGACCTAAGTATGTCACCTCCTTACGCCTGAAGGAACGTTTCTTTAGAAACAGTCTATGTGAACGTAGCAATCCAAAGACCCTTTGCAGGTGGATGAAGTGCTTTGCCTCCGTTTGACTGTAAATTAAAATATCATCAAAAAATACCAGAACATACTTATGGAGCTGTTGACGGAAAACATCATTCATTAAGCTCTGTAAAGTTGATGGTGCGTTTGACAGTCCGAACGGCATGACGAGAAATTCGAAATGCCCATGATGAGTGCGAAAAACCGTTTTCTTGACATGAGTAGGCGTCATGCGGATCTGGTTGTAACCAAAAGCTAGATCTAGCTTCGAAAATAAGGTCGCTCCGTGTAATTCGTCCAGAAGTTCTTCCACCACTGGAATGGGAAACTTATCCTTGATGGTTTTGGCGTTTAGTTCCCGATAATCCACACTAAATCTCCATGATTCATCATGTTTTATTTACCAAAAGTACCGGTGAATAAAAAGAAGATTGACTGGGCCAGATTGTCCCATTTTGTAACATTTCCGCACATTGCTTTTCAATTTCATCCGTAAGAAGATGGGGGTAGCGGTAAGGTCGGACTGCCACCGTTTCTGTGCCCGGTTTGCAATAAAATGATGGGTGCTACCACTATCGAGTAATACCCAGGCGATACCAGATCCAATGACTGCCCGAACTTGGAAGGTTTTATCGTTTTTTTCTCCTTGGATGGCATTCAGTGAGATTTATGGTGTGACCTCTTCTATTACTTCATCATCATCAGCCATCATAATACATAATAATTTTGAGCACTTATGTCCCACCGAGAACATCTCGTCACAATTGAAGCAAATCCCTTTTGCTCGCCGTTCTGCCATCTCCAATGTTGTGAGTCATTTCCAAGTCGGGTTTCTAGGCTTCATTGTAGTAGCCCCTGTTGTCTCTTGGTTTTTTCTCCCACCTGAGGGTCAGCTTCCTAATGATGGTCATGTTCCAAAACTTCTAATTTTCCTTTCTTCTTCCAGTTTGAGTTCGATTTGCCATGCCAAGTTCATGGCTAAATACAGTGTGTTTGATTTTATGTACTCTACCTCATACCTAATTGCATTGACTAAGCCCGCACAAAAGTGCCAGATATTTTGTTCTGGCATGACACCCGTTGTTCGACCTAGTAATGTTTCGAACCCTGCACAATAATCCTCCACTGATCCAAGTTGTCGCAAATGAGTCAACTCTCCTAGCGGGTTCATACTCATTGGTGGTCCAAATCTGATTTTACATTCTTTTGAGAATCCGCCCCTGTTCAAGCGATCCTTTATTCTTCTAAGATTGTGATACGATACACTGGCTTGTCCCTGCAATGAGAAGGTGGCCTGTCGAACCCATGCATCTGTCGGAGTTTGTTGTTCTTCGAAAAAATATTCACACTTCTGTAACCATTCTACCGGGTCGCCTTTTCCGTCATACGTAGGGAATTCCATCTTTGTGAATCTTGGTACTCGGCTACCGCGGAACCCTTGTCCTCATAATCTTCTGAATCTTTATGTAGTCATTCCTGGCGGTTAGATCCCTCTGTTCTGTGGTAGTCCTAACTATGCTTAAACGGTTGTGGTTGTCCGGTACGTCATGAATCATTAGCCTTCCCGAGGAACCGACCTGATCCAACTGGTTGTCCCCCAGCATGACCTTTTCCCCGTGCCACCACTGTGGTAGCTGTTGGTCCCTTACTGTCTGGAGCACCGCCGAAGCCGAATCCTATCCCTTTGCCTCATCCTTGTCTTTGCTCGGGTGGGTCATCGAATGATTCCAACCCTATCTCTTCCTCCACACTAGCTTCCGATCCCCCTTTGTTATTGGGTTTGTTATGACTGCGTGTAGATAAGCCTTCCTCCAGTGTCGTTTGCTTGGCTTGCAAGGCTTCCACCGCTGCCTTTAATTCACTTGTGCTTTGGGTTTGTTGTAGCATGAAAGCTTCGAGTTTCTTCATAAGTTCCTTCGTTGGGTTCGTCATCACAAGCGACTCTGATACCAAATTTGTTACGTCCCGGTACTTGGATCTCGTGATTGGACTAGTGCTTGAATTCAGAGGTGCCGTGAATGCTAGAGCAGCCTAGCCTCCCTAAGAGAGAGACCAAGCTATGCGATTTACTGAATACAGAACTAGGGTTTCCTTGGGATTAAATCATGCTTTATTTCATAATAAACTACCCTTTAAATAGGGAGAACAAATACTTTAAAAAAGAAAAACAAATCTCCTACCACAATGGAAAATATTTATAATAAAAATACTTCAAAATACTCCTAAGTTATAGCATGCATAAAAAAGGAATTGATTTTACTCCCTATCCATTGCCTGATCGTTTTTAGAGTGTTGCCTATAAAGCTTACCATATTT